TACAAGCTTCTTTTGCCCCAATGTGAATTAGCTTTACTTGAAATGTTGCCACGAGCGACAGTTTAGACAAAAGTTCAACCTCATTTTCGTTCATCCCATCTCACCTCGCGTCGCGTTGCCGTGATTTTGAAAAAAGCAGGCGATAAATTGCCAATGAGTTTTTTGTTTTGCGAGGCTGCGCCTAGCTCTTTTTTTCCGATACATTTTTTGCTCATACACCAGCTTCCCTAATTTAAAATATTCTATAATTGATATGACCACTGCGTGCGTGTTTGGACGAAAGTTTTAGTCCCACTGTTTTTCCCTTTGGCATACTAAGTCAGTTCGGTTTTCGTATTGTAATCTTCTCTTTCTGTTTTCCTTCATATTCTTCCTGCTGCTCTATTATACTTGTTTCTTCTGCTCAATAATTAATTTGGAGTACCATTAGTATAGGGAATAAATAATTAAATGAATAGATAACTTGTTTTCAACTACTTTCATTCACTCAAGAATGAGATCGAGCAAATAAGTTGATTATGATTCGCTATGAACTTTCGTGGATATCACTTCTAGGAAAGCCTGATAAGTTTGCCTATATGGTCAGCAGTTAGGTTTTGCTACTGCAATAAGTCATCAACGGTACTACAAAAAGATAGCGCTTGGTGCTGCAGTTGAGCTAATAGTTAAAACCAAGCATTGGAGCTTTGTTGGAATAGCTTTAAGAGTTGGGTCGAGTAAGTTGCTTGTGTTGTACAGTTCAGCTTTGGCCGAAAATTTAATAAATAAATTCAAGGTCAATAAGTTTAGTAACAAACTCGCATTTGCCTACATTTAGTTAACCATAATGTGTTTATTTCTTTAATTATGAAAAAAACATGTGTAATTCGCAGCTGACGTCACGATTCACACACAGCTTTTATTTTAAGATTGTAATTCTAGAATTATACCATAACATCGACCTTATAAAATACTTACGATCAATCTAATTTTCTGATTCAGCAAAGTAGTAGTTTCTCTTAATAAATCTAAATCGTTTTTTCTAATCATTCAAAAAAACAATTTTAAAAAAGAATTCCACCTGTTCCGTAAACACCAACTTTCAACAATATAATCCGCCAAGATTCCACAAACAAAACACAATGGCCTTTACTATTTGCTAAAAAAGTTGTGTACTTGTCCAAAGTTGGTAGCATCTGAAATTACAGCATTTTGCAACATACAGTAGAACTATTTCAGTTCTTGAAAATTCGATTGAGGAGAGGATGCTGCAAATTGGATTTCTTTTCTTGCTTCCTCTCTTCTCAGCAATGGATAGGACAAGGTTATCAGTCACATTATTTTGTAAGAACACAAATATTCTCCATAATACAACAATTATGTTTAGAAAATTGAATTTGCTGAATTTCAGATCAAAGCCGAACGCATATCGCAGTCGGGCATTGTTACTCCTAGGCTGTCTCTTGTAACCTGAAATAATCAAAAATCATTTGCAATTTCCATTCTTTTACGGACAAAGTAGCTTGTCTCCTACCGTGGATACCAGTCTCCAAGCTTCTGCTCCACATTTCTCAAGGATAATTGGGTGAGAGCATCGAAGATACCCGTCCATTGCTCGACACATCTCCGCCAAGTATGCTTCCGTTGAACCGGATTGCAACTAGAAACAAGGAGAATACCGAAAGACGTATCGTCAGATGGTTATGTCGTAAGCTTTGAACTCATAGCCATAACACTTTTGCACTCGTTAAAACTTAAAAA